TACATTCAGACGGAGTTGGAAGGTCATGTTGAGAAGATGGTGTAGTTGAGGTGCTTCGAAAGTAGTAATTCATGGTTGACTGAGTCCAAAGGATTCAAGATCCTGGTTTCCGTGAGGCATGTATGGCATGCAATGGGTCACACCCATTTCGACACCTTGCGTCCAAGATGGTGACAGAGCGTCAAATGTTGTTGGGTATGCAGCTTCTCCCAGGGCCTGGCTCTCGGGAACAGTCGTGGACCCAAACATATCCAGGCCCAAGACTGTTGGCACCTGCCCTGGAAGACCTGTTGTTGGAAGCCCCCAGGGCACCTCCGTTTGCGCTGAGAACTGTGGTGGCGGCATTGGGAATGAAATCTCGTTTCCCAGCGTAAGTTCATCCGGCGGCGACAGTTGCGCAAGATACGTCTGCTCTCCCGGCGGAAACAACCCCAGTTGCAGGTCTTGGTCCGCCGTACCGCTCCTTGAGCGCTGGTTCTCGTCAGCCTCGGCGGCCCAGTTGTCGCCGAATCCATTATTGAAAACACCATAGACCTCGTCCTTGACGCTCATCAACTGCGTCATGGCCTCTGAGACGGGCCTCGGCTCAACGAGGGGCTGCCCAGTCTGGGCGCGCATCGCATTGATCTCAGCCGCAAGGCGCCGGTTCTCCGCGATCAGGTCCTGCATGTCCTCAGCGGCATCTAGACACATGTCCCGCTGGGTACGGAAGTGCTTGATGCTTTCGTTGACGATGAGGACTTTGTTTAGACGACGGGCATTGGCGAGTGACGGTACCAAGCGGGCCAGGTCCTGTTCCACATGTCAGTCACTATGCCCCAACAACACCCGAAGTCTGCAGAGCCGATGTTACTATGATGTTCTCCTTCATCTCGCACCGTTTCCTCTTCTCGGTGGCCAGGTTGCGCGCATTTACATGCGCGGGCAGAGGGCGGACCCGTTTCCGCTTTTGGACCTTGCCGCTCGCGGTGGTGTCGTGCGGGTTCGACATTGCTCAGCGACTATCCAGCAGTTATGAGATAAATTTTCTGTGCTTCGGCGCACTGCCAAGGGTCTTGAGAAAGAGGCTCAACGGCAATGCAGGCGCTGGACGGGAGTGATGCAACGCTCCTTCGTGTGCATCAGCAAGCTGGGTTGCTTCTCCGCAGTGGTGGGCGTGGCGGAATTCATGGCGGAAAGGCCCCGATAAGGAAAGTGCGGTTTGCTGGTTCGAGGAGATCCGCCCGGTTGCTTTTAGCGTTGTGATTTGGTGTTGGTGAGTCGGATAACGATGATTGGGTTAAGTGCATTCTGCCTATCCGTTGTACTTGTTAAATGCATAGTCTGATCTACTGCTTGACCGAGTTGCTCGGATTATTGAATAATTCTGGTGGACCCCTGAAAGCAACCGTCCAACGGCTGACATCGCGTGAAGCCACAACACGTGGGATTGAGTTTTGCGGTCATCACCGAAAGCCCCGGCGTCTTGGGATTCAATCTCATTCAAAGACACATTTCCTCCGAGGAACTGGCCCTTATTACACTCTTTTCGTGTTTTGATTCCTTTGTTCAAGATGTCGGCTTACCCCAAGACGTGGCGCGACAGCGCGTATCTTGTCATCTCAGGTATCCAGTTGACCGCCATGCTCAGTGAGTCTCACCCCTGCACATGTCTCTTCTCTCATAAGATGATCTTCACAATTCATGGATCGCTATGGAAATCACGAGAGATCTCATATCCAGTCCATTGATGTCATCTCCGAAGAGAAAGACGCGACATCCGGCATCTGATGCCTCGCATCACCTCACATGAGCCCAGACTAACTCTCTCATCAGTGGTTGACCTGGTCCCCCTCTACCCAGCGTCGCTCTACGCAACGCCGTCGTCACCGCTGCACTTCCTCCAGCTCCTGCGCGACTTCTACATAAAGACCTACAACGACCCTTTCTTCGTCATGTCGCACGATAACCAGCCCTCGTGGTACAAGCTCTTCACCTATCTCGAGGTCTTCTACCAGCTCCCCATGACCCTGTGGATGGTCTACCGCTTCTCACGCGGCACTGGCACCACCGTGGGCTTTGAGCTCGCCGTGCTCGTCTTCTGCGTGGAATGCGCCTTGACGACGCTGACCTGCATCTTCGACGTCTCCTACTGGGACCCCAACCTGTACAGCGAGGCTCAGAAGAATGTCTTCATCTTTAATCTGTATGGACCTTGGGTTGTCATCCGTAAGTCGCTCTCTTTCCAGTTTACTTGCTCGATACTGATGAGTGATCCAAGCCACGTTGATGGGATTGGACATGTGCCTGCGCGTTCTCAACCGCGCAAACTCCGCCGACAAGACCAAGAAGATCCAGTAGAACAGAAATGGGCCTCCGGGCATTTTTGGTTACATTAGGATATCGTATATCCATGCTCGGTCAGACCGCGCGCGTAATCCAGACGAGTGATCCAAACTCCGTTTCCCCTATACGTCCATGTGTACATTTCAGTTCCAGGCCAGAATGATTTCCCTCCCTTGCCCACCAAATAAGAAACTCCAAGCTTGTGTCGTGAAAAGGCCTTCAAAGAGCGGCGTCAAATATACATGAATCGGACCACATCATACACTCCTTCGCCATCATCGACCAAGGCCAGCAAAAGGCCTTAGTCCATTCGCTTGGCAGCCTTGGAGTATCCCCAGCCATTACCAACACCGTTCAGCCCATACCCCAGTGGCGTCGCGCCGCCGAGTCCCCGCCCCCTCAACCTCTTGGGCAGGACCACGCCAAAGAAGTACGTCCCCGCGACAAGCACGCCCGCCATGAAGGAGGTGATGATGTAGAAGACGGTGCTTGCGTACACGTGCCCGCCCATGCCCTGCCACTCGACGTGTCCCTCTATCTTCGGCAGGTTCGGTGTCGGGAACCACCTCACGGACAAAGTCAACGGCAGCGGGTCGCCGATGACCAGCCTCTTCGTGTGTGTGCCGTCCATGTGGCTCAGTGGGCTCGTGCTGTACGCCGTGCCGGAGTCCAGGACGCCCGAGTCGTGCGGGCGGGTGTGGTGCTTCGGCATGCTGTGGAGGAGCACGTTCATGTGCGTGCTGACGTGCAGATGGCTGAGCTGGAGGGTGCCGGCGAGCGCGAAGACGAGGGGGATGTATTCTTGTACGTGAGGCTTCTCGCCGACGGTCTCGACGTGTGGCTTGGGGCGGGCGGGCAAGCGGCAGGATAAGGGCGCGTCGTTGTGGATGTAGAACTCGAGGAGGTGGAAGAAGGGGTCGGTGATCATCGGGATCGTGCAGTTCAGCTCGCCCTCGTGGCCGTACTGGAACTCGAGAGGCTTGTTCGTTTCTTCGCAGATCGGGAAGGGGATCCATTCGATTTCGTGGTTGGAGTTTTCGACATGTTCTCCTGTTTCGCTGCGATGAGTGTTAGCCGGGCCGTTCAAGTCCAAGTGATATTCCCGCGAGAGGGCCTGATGAAAATATTGCGCCCATTGGTACTGATGAGGGCTTGGGGAAGATCGCCAAGGGAGAGTACGCACGAGCTTCGGTTCATGCACTCCACGTGGATGGGGGCGCCGTAGTGGTAGGAAGGGAGGCCATCTTCGGGATTGGCTGCAGCTAGCCTCGACAGGCCGAGGGCGGCGCCCAGCAGGAGATGCGACAGCGAAGGCATGATGGAGAGGAATCGCGAGGTTGACGTAGGGCAACCGGCAGGATTTAAGGTGTCCTAGCAAGACCGGGGCATTGCCTGACTCGGGGTGGTGGGCGCGACGGAGAGCGATCCGGGTCCAGCTTTCCCCGGAGCGAACTGGAGATCATTTAATCAAAAGGTGACAGCTGTCAATGGAGCTGCAGCTTGCGTATCTGCACGGGCTGGTGCTAGATAAGATAACGGCGGATCCGCTCATCACACGAGATCACGTGGATAGTACTTCAAGTGAGTTATGCAACTATCCAAGGCAAGCTTCAAGTCTCCCAACATCAATTATTCTCGGCAACATGGATCATTTTCGGCAGTCACTCCCATGCAACCAATATTTGCCTCAAGGCTCCTCCTCTTCAGGACGCGCTCTTTTGTCTCTCAGTGGATCTTCGACTTCCAAAGGTCAATTTCGACGCACTCTTTCGCCAGGATGAGCACCGAAAACCAACCAGCAAGCTCTCCTAGGGCACCGTACAGCATCACTCTGGAGGATCTGACCCCAACTACCTGGTCAGGACGCCGCCTCGCCGATATAGCCTACGGCATGAAACGGTCCGGCTTCCACCGATGGGGCTTTGTTATCTACAGGACAACATACGACGATGACAAGGCCTGGGACCGCTACCTCGAAGTGCTGCAGCTCACAAGACTTCGTACCCTTCTGCACGCAGGCGCTGACCTGCTGCTTGAGCAGTATATGGATTGTAAGAGGACTTCGCCGCTTATTTTCCGTACATGACGCTAATAAACCTAGGGCCCGTGATTTCTGATCGAGCTACCCTCGAAGGCGCGTCCAAGGCCGAGGTGCGGAAGCACTTTCGATCTTGGTGCGAGGCGCGCAGCGAGGAGCGCGACGGCCCGGGGGCCACCGGACCCAGGACTCAAGGGCTGCCACGTTTCAAGCACTGTGTCTATGTGGATCGCAAATGCCTCGACACGCTGGCCAAGCTGCCCAACAACTACCGCGGAGCCCGGATGGAGCTGTCTAACATGGTGACTGTCGTCATTGATGGCGCTTTCGACAGGAGAACGCCTGGAGATGACGAGGGTTTATATTCGGAGATTGAGGGCTGCACGGAACGGTACGTGGGCTGGAGGTATGAAGAAGTCGAGATGCTGGTCGGCACGTACGAAGAGTCCCATCAATATCCTTTGAGTCATATTGACTACAAGCGGCCCCCTCTCATTTCGCCCTTCGGACGTCAGTCGATGCCAGCCTGAGGTACACGAATATCACAGCTACGGCGGCAGATTTCTGAGTGCAAAGTTTGTGGAGCATTATACATTCGCGATGACCGGCACTACCTGTCAGTCATTGACTACAGCTATCAAATATCAGGCGGTGGTTGAATATAATGAATCTGATCTGAAAGAGCGTCCAAGATATCTTGAACTTCGGCGGCATTAGGTGGTAAATTACCATCTCGCTGGAGCTGACCGAAATTCAAGCGTATCTCTAAGATACTGTCGACCACCCACGCTCTTGTTCTGTCAGCGCACTCGCGGTACCAATTGCTGTCAAACTCCCGGCGAATAGCCGCGGCATCGCTCAAGGGCCTGACGAACTTGGCTATTGCTATGACCGCAGCGCGGATTTCTCGGCGATTGCGTTGAACCGTCGGCAGTGCGTCGGGGTGATTGATGTAACGGAAGACGCAGATGGCCATCCGAATGCTGTCGAACATCTCTGTTTGCGCTGCCACATCTCCCCTCAACATGTTGATTAACAGCGTTTGAAACCGTTCATCTCCTATAATACCTGGCCGTTCTCCGACATCGCTGTCCGGATCGTTACTACCGGACCCAGAACCGCCACCAGTATTACCGCCGTTGTCCGCTTTGGGTGATGGTTGACGCAAGTTGTAGATGCGGCCCTTCATCTGGTTCATGACGCGCTCGCACAGCACAAACGGCTCCCGGTTACCATGCGAACCAAAGCGGTCAAACAAGTAGCCATTCGGTGTCCGCAGCGTATGACTGGATCCAGCACGAGGCAAGTTCGCTGGCAAGACCTCGGCGTTCCAGTTGTCCGCGAGGTCGGGGCCGTGCATAGGGCCGTTGGTAGTGGTCGAGCCGTTGGGGAGGATGCCAGTGGCCATGGTCCTAACAAAGTCACGGGTGTATTGCCCATCGGGATTTTGCTCCGTATCGACAGCCTTTCTCAACTCCTGGGAACTCATTGTGGATCTGTCCAGGACCTCGTTTTCTGTCGAACGGCAATCATTCTGTGCCATCCTGAAAACGTTATTGCTGGCCGGGGTGCTTCGCGTAGATCTGTGGAGGTTGCTGGAGCCTGGAGCCCCTCTCATCTGTAACTCAAGTCTGAATTTGCGGACGATACCGTTGATAACCTGCTCCCATGCCACTATGAACGGTGGTCGCTTGCTTCCACGACGGTCAAGGCTGGGGCAGAATGCCGGTTCGCACTCGTCTTCATCAGAGTAGTCGTCCGCATAAAGTTCTTCATCGCAGTTGAATCCGGAGCCTGGGTAGTCACAAAGGCTTCCGCCACATGTGGGTGTGTCGAAGACATCGTCATTTGGGGTGCAGCAGAGCGCCTTCTTCCGGCCCCAGAGACAATCCACGAGGCTGTCTCCTTGAGAGTTGGTCCGCACCGTCACCTCGGTGGCCGAGCATGTGTTGTCTGCGCAGTCGCCCTTGCCGACCCAATGGCAGCTTCGGAGTGGCGGTTGAGAAGACTTGCAGCAGTAGTGAGACATGTACTTGAAGAGGTTGCATGTCTGGTCGGGTGAGCTGACAGCTGTTGCAACGTCGTGCTCGTCACCTTTGCAACTTTCTTCGCTGTTTGTTTATTAGCTAGGTTCAACATCAACAGGGCAACTTCTGGGAAACTTACCAACCACTCCAGTAGCACTGGTCAGTCAACTCGTCATAACTGTCCATACTGCAGCAAAAGTACTTGTAGCCTCGGCTACACTGGTTGTTGTTGCCGCCGGACTCAACCGGCCAGCCACCGTTTCCAGACTTGTACAGCGTAACCTCGCCCTCGTGGCATTAACCATTGCAGTCGCCGCCATTGCCTCTCCACATACACTTCTCCGGAGCGTCTGTTGCTTTGCAGCAGATGGGCTGACCCCAGTTGCTCCCAATACCGCTGCAGATGCTCTTGTCCCAACCGACACGCTTGTAACTCTGTCCACAGGCCTTGGAGTACCCAAGCTTGTTGATGTCGTCCTCAATATCGACACACTTCTCGCTGCGGAAGCACGTCTGATTGAGGTTGACCATCCCGATGTCACGGCCGCCGCCATCCTGGCTGCCCTGGTCTCCGATGACTCTCTGCACGCACTTGTCGAAGGGACAATAGCCCCTTGAACAGGCAAAAGCGCACAAGCCATGGCCGTCGTCCTTGATGGTGCCGGCCTTGAGGTCAATTGTGGGATCGAGCCAGTCGAGCTCACCCTGACTCAAACACGTGCAGGCGGCGATAGGGCAGTATCCGTGCCTGCAGGTAAAACTGCAAAGCGCGGCGAGGTCGCCAGGGCCAGTACCGGATACACAAGCCGGGGGCTGGAAGGGTGACACCGTGGGCTCGATCAACGGATGCTCCGTTAGGCCACATGCCTCCTCCGGACAGAATCCATACGAGCAGGCTGACGAACAAAGACCGGCATAACTGGAGCCTCGGCCTTCAAGAGCGTATCCTGGAGGACCAGTTCCGTTCGGATATTCGAACTCCGTGCCCAGCGTGGTGCAGACACAGGCACCCTTGGGGCAATACCCATAGCTGCAGGTGAACTTGCAGAGCCGGCTGAAGTCGTTGGCACCCCATCCACCGATGCATATCTGGTTCGAAAGCGACGGCACCATCACACTGCGTGTGACCGCCATCATCTTGCCGCCCGTGATTGGATTGAAGTTGTGGTAGCCATCGCTGCCGCAATTCCGTCCGACGTCTGGGCCAGTCACGCTCATGATGGTTTTGCCGCCTCGGATGAGCCTGATTTCGACGCCGCCTTCTCTACCGTCAAAAGGCACTCCGCCATGATAGATGCCAGCGCCGCCCTCTGGCTTGTTCCTCCAGGTGCTCCTGTACGCAGATCCGCCAATCACAACATGCAGCTCCGCCTCATCCGTGAGCAGTGCCGAGAAGAAAACCTCATCTGACACTAGCTCAGAGGGCTTATACTCCAGCTGGACCTGCGATGCGGTGTTGCCCGTAGTGCCGCCGTCATTGCAGTCCTTGCGGCAAACTCTGCGATACCAGAATTCGACACCTTCCTGCGTGATGGTGGCGGTATTGTGCTTGTAGAGATCGATAGTGAAAGGCAAGAGAGTCCTCCAAGCGTCGTGGGGACGGTCGAGGGCGTAGTTGTAAGGAGATTTGCCTGTCTTGAAGGCAACGAGCGCGTGGTCCCTAACGGGGCCGATGTGATGGGATTCGCCGTAATCGTTCCATGAGATGATCTGCACCCACTCAGGCTGCCACCAGTTGACCTGCACCCATCGGTCATACCAGGCATGGTCTCCCCGCCAGAGCCAATTCTTGCCGAAACCTGGCATGTTGGTATAAAACCAAGGAGATACAGGCATCATATACGGCTTGCCGCCTAGGAACTCGTCATACGAGGCATCGGTGTAGGTATCCATATCATGACCACCCCAGGCCCATGAATCCCAGCTGAACAGGCCGTCTGCGACGCCTCCAGCACGTTCCATAGCTCTCTTAGCCCCATCGGAACTCCAGTCAGGTACGAAGAAGCAGCCTGTTTGAGCCTTGATATCGATCCAATCGTCCGCCTGTGCAGGGCCTTCGAAGGTTGATACGAAAGGCTTGCCCTCGTGGCGGAAGTGAGCTGGGCTGCTGCTGTACTTCTTCAACATATCAATGACGACTTGTTTCTTCCATGGGCCATTGCCGGTGTAGTCGAAGCTGAAGAATAACTGAAAGCCGAGCTGTTCAGCCTTAGCAAAGACGGCCTTGACAGATTTGTCGTTCATTTCTTCGCCCTGCGCCATGTTGAGAGCAAAAGCATCGATATGCGCCTCTTTCGCCTTGTTGATGTCGTCCGCCCAGTCTGTGTCGGTATACTCGGCCGTGTTGCCAACCTGACGTTCGCTCAAGTTAGAAACTCGCCTCTAATTTTTCCTCTGGATCACAATATGATCTGGGTTTTCTTAGACGTACCATGAAGTGAGCGAAAACCGCTCTGCCCCTCACCTGGAGGATCCATGAGAGCAGTGCTGTCACCAGCAAGAGTAGCCTCATCTTGCCGGTAAGTTAAGTGGCCCAGTTTGCTGCGATGCGGTGCTGTAAAGTTCAAGAAAGACAACGAATATGGATTCCATTCGGACAGAGATTCTGGCGATGATTCTCGTTTTAACCATCCATTGCTGGACTTTGGTCTAACAGTCAATGCAAAGAATTATCTGAGTGACCCGCCTCTCCCGCCGTGATTTCGTCCCTTCCCTTCAGAATTGCAATCTCCCCTTCCAGGAGCTTTGATCCATCGTAAGCGAGGTCGTGGATATTGCTTTGCCTCCCCCCTCCATCATGCTGAAGGTTCCGGTGCATGTGCGGAATGAGTTGTGATGCATTGCAAAATCTCTTCATTTTCACTCTGATATTGGAGCTAGACAGGCAGTCTCCGGTGAGAGACATGCTGTGCCGCCGGATATGCTTGCAATTCTAAGTTAGCGTAATCCACCCAGTGTCTTCGGCGGGACTAGGCCGTCTTGAATGCAACATTGAACCAACGACAAAAGAGAAAATGGAACACAGAACCAACACGAAGAGGTCAGAGTGAACCCCCTGGCGTCGCTAGGATGCGAAATAAGGTATGGAGCTCTTGCAAAGAGTCGCTCGTTGACCTGCGCACGAAGGTCCTGGACTCCTGTGACGCCAGTGCCGACACCATCCAGTACAGCTATCTGAGCTTTCCGGCAACTTACATCGTTGACCGATATCTGTACTTCTACGACGTCTCCTGCTACAAACACAAGTCCACGGGCAGCTTTTGTGATACTGTTGTGGCCGGTTGGCGCAATGAGACAGGGGGCTCCGAGGCGCATTATTGCGATGACTGCTGGCTGGGCCCCATGTCCGTCCAACTCAGATCCCCCATTGGTTTCAACGAAGACCGCGCCTCAGAGTTTGCGTCGCTGACTAGGAGCTGCTCCATTGATGCCTACGCCACACCCACCCCAACACCGTACGGAGAAGCAACCGCTACTTTCGGGGACGTCGTGACTACGGCTCAGGCCTCGACGACGGATGCCGCAAAGGCCACAGCCACAGCTACGGAAGTGACCTCTGCTCAAGAGATGATACCGTCTATCTATCCTCTGCTGGAAGTAGGCACCGCCGCTAGTGCCGACGCCCAAGAAGGCAAGGAGAACACCAGGAAGCAGCGGAGAAACCGTTCGAAGAAGGCCTCGGCGCAAAGTTTGGCTCGACAGGTCAACCCCCGTGCTCCAGGTACTTCTGAAGATTGTCCCAAGTACCAGAGCTTTTTGCCCTTTTGAGCTCACTTACAAGAAGGCCGACCGGAACAAGGAGTTCCTGGATGATTTCGGTATCAACGGCTGCGGGTACACAGCGACCAAGCACAGTATCAGTCGTGAGTGACCCAAGAAAATCTTGGATTCAATCGAGACGATCCCCGGGAAGATGGCGCTAACTATAGGTTCCCAAGTAAAAAACTTCTTAGCCTGGAACCCAAGTCTTGCCAAGTTGAAAGACTGCAAGCTCCAGCGTGGTTACAGCTACTGTGTCCGGCGCCCATCCTCAATTCCTAAGACTCACATTCGTAAGCAAAAGCTTTTCTTGCCCGTCTTACATCATGTGTTTCCTGCTTTCCTCTTTCTTTTGATGTTCTCGTTTCCCCGTCACCAGTAGTGAATTTTTGCGTAGGATCTGTCATGCTGACATTAAAGTTGACCCCGGTGCCTCGAATGCAACAATGACAAACTCTACCGTAGCGGGTGCGAATCTGACCATGGCTTCGTCCCAAAATATCAAAAGGGTTCGAGTTTCATGGGCTTGGACTCAAGAGTCCTAGGTCACAAGATGGAGATACCGCAGAGACACAAGAACATCACATGTGTTATAAACGAGTTATTTGCAGTCCACTTCTATTCTCACCACTAAGGGGTGATAATACCGATATTTGGGTACTATTCAATGTGTAAGGCATTTATTTTGAAGAAGACAGGCTACCAAACTACGCCCGTTCTGTGCCTCATAAGAGCGTATTGCTAGACTAGGTTTGGAAATGCACGGTGATCATAGTTATGATACGCGCTGTGATTACTTCGACTTCAAAATTTCAAACTTTCTCTGTATTCTCTCATTGAACTGCTTTTGCAGCGGCTTTGCCATTGACTTCTGACTACAAGGCACCAAAGCGATATCCATAGACCCCCTTCACCTTCTATGGAGCAACTACGTCTATGACAGGCGAAAAGTTCATCGCTGAAGCCTTAACAAGTCCCTGTGTTTGGGTCGGCTCTAGTGTCGAGTTAAAACGTCAGCAAGTGTGCATGCAGCTGTTGCCCAATTTCCTTGCTCACCTAAACCGCCAGCCGGCGTTATCAGACTGCCCGCCACTCTCACAGCCGATGATCTCCCTGGCGAGTCCATTGGCACAGTCGTCGTCGTTGAGGTCAAAGCCGGCACTTTCGTTGAGATTGGTGATCTGGAATTCCCATTTCTGATCGCCGTACTGATAACAGAGATTCTTTGTCTCTCCTGATGCGAACCATTCTTGGAAAGCTCCTTTGTTGCCGTCATAGCCTCTACAAGCTCTTCCAGTGTGATAAACTGCATCACCCTGGTTGGCCCATTTCTCTCCGTGGGTGTAGCAACCAGCTGAAACGTATGCGACGTTGGTGCATAGGATGACAAGGCTGGCAAGACTGGTGGAGAGCTTCATGGCGTCAATTTGAGAGGGAGAGGAATTGGCACGTTTTGAGCCCAACAGAGTTTGTGTGGCCTTTAATCAAAGCTAATAGGATGCCAGTGGGAGAACGAGGAGGTTGGGCCCCAGGAGAGAGACATCGCCACTTATATACACAGATTTCAGTCTGGCTACACCAGGGAGTCGATGGGCCCTCATAGCCCTGCCACCAATCACCAGTCTATGCCATCGCCAGTGGAAGACATTCCGACAGCCTTTCGGACGCGATGACCTCAGCGCTCTGGATTCAAAAGCTATTCCAGAGATATTGTGGCTAGCCAGCAACACAACGGTTCCTACGATCCTGGAGGATTGTAACACAACCAACCAAATGGATTGCCGAAGACCTGAGTGATACGAGTTCATGAATGCTTGTAGGATCTTGGTAACGCGATACGTGGCCTTGTGAAATAAAGAGCTGATGGAAGCCTGTGACATGAACAATATTGGATGCACTCGGCCCCAGGTGTCAGAGACCCTAGGCTAGTATGTGTAGACCTGATATTTTTCAAAGAAACGATTGCGGTCTTGAATTATGACAACTTCGATAGCAACAATCAAACTTCACCAGATTGGTATCTGCTTGGGCCCTCTCGCCTTTGATTTCAATTGATAACGTTGAGATTCACAATCTCGATTTCCCGATGCGTGCCATCTGTCATCAGCGCACGCAGCACCGCGCAGTGAGACTTGTTGATCGGCAGGATTTGTCCTCCCCAATCGGCTTATGTGACACACCATGGTTGGCGACAAGCTCATTTGTGCTCGCTGGATTTCTATGCTGTGTGATTATTACAGAGGGGCGAAGTAAGTGGCTGCGGCCTGCCACAGAATAGCACTGTGGCGGTTCCAGACACCCGATCACACTGGAACCTGCAGTTTCATAATTCGTCATGTTGTGATCCAATCCTGGACTATTAGTCTTTTAGGTCTTTTTAACTGCTTGCATTATTTGGCGGACGAGCCTTAGCTTGTTTCACAACAGCCAAAAGGCCCGGCAGCCCAAGGCAGACACAATGATCCAGTCAGCCATTAGGCTGAACCTGTCAGCCTCTCAAAATTGAAAAGGAGTAGGAAACTTTTGTTCCCATACCTAATCGCCACATGTGGTTAAACTCTTGTTGATTCGTGTCAATCGCATATTGATTTCGAAGTACGGCAACTGGAATCACTACTGGATTTTCAACCACATGATGGGTTCCTCTTCAGCTATGGATTCCCAAGGCCTTAATTATGATCAATGGCTCGAAAGGCCGTTTGTGAGTCAATTGGACCTAGGAACGAAGCTTTTCAGGCAGGAAGCCACGGAGGATGCAATGAATTGGGATGTTACGACCTGTGGCAACGTAGGTGTGGACTTTTGGGATGGTGCGACTGTCATGGACGACATGTCGTCGCTCGCCTCGCAACCTTCATTCTCCTTCCTCCCGGTCGACGATTCACGGTGTGCACGAGTTCGAGCTAAGAGTCAGAAGGAATGGGATGCAAATAAAACAGCCATTCGGCATCTTTATCTGGTGGACAACCTTCCACTGAAGGAGATTGTGGGCATTATGACAGCAACGCATTCTTTTCCAGCTACGTCAGTATTCCCAGGCCAACTTATGCGCTGTCATAGAAACTCAATTTCTCACATTGACAGCAGGGAAAGAATGTATAAACGACAATTCGTCAAATGGAATTGGAGAAAATACAATTCAAGGGGACTTCGTCAAAGTCGTCAAGACGGACAAGCCATTGAGATGCCCACCGGGAATGCGACATGCATAAGACCACCTCGACAACGAGTAGTTAAGAATATCATGCACACACATTCCATCACCACCAAGCATTCAAAGCTCTCGACTCCACTCCTTCACGCATCACAGAACCTCAAAATTACAGAGGAGGCTTTTGCTAGCCTCCGAGACATGATTCGCGGAATTTCTTCCTTGTCAGGATCCTGAATGGGGCAAAGCTGATAGATTTAATCTGCTACCCAAAAGTGCCGATCATCTTTTCAGACAGTTTGTTGTCGCTTCAGACCTCTTGACGTCAGAAAGCTTTGCCAAGGGTGGCGAGATTCTTCGCCAGGCCTTCCGAGACCTTGAAGATGCCATTCTCCATCCATCCATCAGGACCTACCAAACTCTCCTACTTGAGGTTCCGTACTGTCTCAGCTTTCAGAGACTAAAAAGGGAACTGAAGTCTTATCTGCTGCATGTTTCTCGGCTCTTAAGCATCAGGAAAGGCGATGAGCCTCTTACGCGTATAAGTCTCATGATGCAGCAACTCAGCGTCCAAAGTGCGATGGACATCCAGCAATTCATCAAGACAATGTACGGCATAGTCACTGACTGTTATACGGAAATGAGGGGAAAGGATGACTTTAACACCCTGAAAGCAAGAGTTGAGACTTTGAGCTTAGACGCCTCCGGCAGAAACGAGACCAGTATCATGCTGAGGGTTGAAAGGCTATTATATGAGTCCGCCTTCAAGATTGGGAGACAACCAAACGAAGCGATGGAGATCGAATTCTATCTTATATTCACAAACCATCAACTTCAGTCGCTCTCCGAGAAGTTTCGCAGCTCATGTCAACGCTTCATTAGTCACTTGAGGGGGTCGCAAGACCAATACTTCTGTAAATGGAGTTGTCGCAAGCTGCAGCTCTACGGTGTGGCACATTGGTACTTGTGCCAATACTTCGGTCGCATGGACGATCGTGAGTCAAGCATATCCTGCTTGAGGAAGTCTATCAACGCCACCAATCAGGTAATGCATCAGGCAGAGAGCGATACTAATAGGAGAATCCTGGAAAGTAATATCCTGCAAGACCATGTTTTTTTGGAACAGCTTCTTGCAACCTCAACCCTTGTCGCAGAACCCACAGAAGCCCTAGGCACTCCCTCGAATCTGGGATGTTCCACAGGTATTCCCTGTAATATTGTCTAGCCTTGGAAAAACTTGGATGTTCAAAAAGAGGATTGATAATGTCATAATCGTATAGGGTGGAAGCTGTTAGAAAATTTCCAAGCAGCCATTTCATATCTTTTGTTTTCTACGCAACATGTGTATAATGCTTCCTCGCCCGTTAGGACTACGTAACAGGCTTAATGAGTAGTGGCTGACTTGACCGGCTAGTATGGCGGAGTTTCTCTAGTGCTTTATTACATAGGTATGTCAAGATTAGCTGATTATGAGCCTTCGTAAAGCAGTATCCTTCACATTAGTAGTACTAAGCGCTATATACACATCAACAGGGGGAGGGTCAGCGGGAAAATTAGAAAACCGCCGAGTCAAGGTAGCAATAACTGCTGCATAATCTAATGCTCGAGCTGTTAAAAGAAGGCTTCTATTGGTATTGAATATACTCTCGATGTCTTGCTGTAGGGAGAGTAGGTGCCACGGGCCAGAGGTTCATATTCCCCGCGAGAGCCCCTTCTACTTCGTGGTTCTTGAAGCTTTGGAGAGTATTGCGCCTGCCACTCTGTCGTGTAGTCTTTCCGTGACAAGTTCTGCCTTGACTGCCTGGCTGAGACAACGTCAACTGCGATCGCCTGGTCTGGTATTTGAACCACTCTCACTTCATGAATCGTCTCTTGTACATCCTCTGACTTCGGAATCGTTAGGTCTCGCGGGAATATTTGATGTGGCGCTCGCGTCACTGACCTTGCGCAAAAGAGATATCTTCCCGTCATCTCCTCCATCACCATCTTGAGATTCATGTTGTCTAACATATAGAGCTTGTATAATTCATGTTTTCTGCTCTCCCAGTCTTTGTCATTCGGCCTGGGTGTCGAGTTCTAACGGCTTATCATTGTTGGTCGTGATGGAATGTCTGGATAGTCATGTTCGTAGAATCTGTGTCTGCAAGCTGCGGGCTGTTCCTCCGCAGGATTGAGTACCGATGCCAACTCCATATTCGATGTCTTGTTGATACCGAATGCAACTTTTATCTGGTATCAAGCAGTAGCTCCTAGAGAATGACTAATAGGTAAAATGACGAAGTTCAAGTAAGTACCTTCCACATGTCGAGGGAATTTATGGAATACGAAATGTTCGTAAAAGTTGCAGAACCGACGTTAGATAACAACCTTAAAAACGGCTTAAAAATAGGTACTTGAGGGAACTGTTCTTAAGGGTCACCTATCAGCCTCACCGAAAGCGAGGTAGAATGGAAGGAATCTGTGCAATCTATAGGACGATTGGCTATGCAGGCGTCCCATGCGCATTGGGTCGCAAAGCCTCAGCCCCAACAGTCACTTTTCCCATGGCTAATAGTCATACGTCTCCTTGCATTCGCATTACTTGCCACCCTTTGTGATGTCTTATTGGTGCTAACACCTCATCGCCCCCAAGCTCCCACCTGCCCGGGCCTTTTTCACGCGATGTGAATTGGCTTAGCAAGGCTTTCACCTCAATTTGACAAATCAAATGGAAAAATGCCTAAGCCAGGGCTTGGTCTTGGGACACAAAACACGCGGCAATATCGTGCACTCCAGCCCTTCTGTGAGATTCCCGCCATCTGCTACCCCTTCGGGTTCCGGGCTCTTTGACGATTACAGTGGTGTTTCTCTTATGAGGCAAACTAAGTGAGGAAAGATCCTTGTCATCATGAATATCTCGATATAACTTCATTTGTGCCAACACTACCATCTCGAGATCTTCTAAATCAAAAGCCTTCCTCAATACCTAGATCTGATACTTCAGGCCCATCCATTCCGACCGCAGACATCAATCTAGATATGACAAACTAGGACCTATCCTCCATATCTCTCTTTGGCCTCCTGCAGATATCCACTGGAGGAAAGCTCATGTTCCCAACCTCTCGCTATCTCTACCTCTCCAAGATCCATCCAGTGCTGAACCAGCTGATTCCTATACTGACATACTCTAGGAGACAAGAACGACGTTAATTCTACATCCCCACCCAAAATAGCTACGTCAAAAAGTGTCACACAGGAGCCGAGCTCACGAAGACCTGCTTCATGATGTCCTTCGTCGATATAGAATCTGAACAGCTCGTAATGGACCTCACCAAGCTTCCAGAGAAGCCAGGAACTCCATTCTGTCAATGAGTTCCGTCCCTCAGCCGCTAAAAAGATCTGCTGGAGAAATTTCTGACATCGGGCATTGAAGTCTGCCGAGTCTACGGTTTTGAGCCGCCTGGACGCCTCAATTCCCCATAACTTCATCGAAACCGTAGTCTCAGAAACTTCTACGTGTTCTTCAATAGCCTCCTCAAGCAGGGTCTCAAAGCTTGCAAGTACCCTATCGCAATCAGATTGGCTTTGGTTGTTAGCTCCGTTGAACAGCTCGGCCTCCATCTGCCGTTCATTGCTGTTGAAGTTGACAGCGTGGTGGATTGCATCATATCGATCCGCTGCGATATAGTGAAATCGTTCGATACTCTCGAGAATCTTGTCGTCATCTTCGTTGGTGATGTGCTGCATCAGTAGGGTCATTTGCGTAATCGGATGGCATCGTTTCTCGGGAGTATCTAGTACGCCGTACAGATGGCTCAAATAACGCTGAAGGATGCGGTGCTGCTGGTAATCAAGGAGAACAAAGGGTATGTCGATGAAAAGCTGTCCACATATGGAAATGTCTTCCTCTTGAGCGACTTGTCCAATGTATGCAAACGTCTTCTCCAGAACGGCGGTCTCTTCAGCTGTGTGATCAGTCGCGAAAAGCTCAGATGCCAGAGCTATCTGAGAGCATAAGCCCTGGCCAAATGCCGGAAGGCATCCAAATCGGGAAACCTGACCCCAGATATGATTACTGCTAGCGGAAGCGTCAATCATCTCTCTCAAGTTGCAGAAGAGCATTTCGATTCGTCGAAGGTTGTCGCTCGCATACCATATTCTGCTGGCAAGTGCCAGTATCTCGTGGGGGAATCTCGGGGAAGCGGACGAATCCCGGCTGCTACGCAAGAGTTTCGGGGTTCGTCGACGTCTCTTAGTCATACCTTGAGCCATTTCAACCATCTCGCCATTTCTGAGCTTTTGTCGGATTTTCTTCGTGGTATTTTTTAACCAACCCCATCTTCTAAAACAAGACTTGTACATTCTTTGCCTGTGATATTAAGTATGAGCTAATGGGCAACGCACAGTTGATAATTCGTAAATCTGCGTTGGAAAAAACTGCCGTTGCCCGAATATTTCCATTATTTCTCCCAGAGGAAGGTTTTCGGTCATGTATAGTCTATGAAGCTCATCTTTCCGGGCTCTCCATTCTTCTTCTGCCACTTGATGTGACGATGGGTGGTCCTCGCTGCCCTCAGAAGATACAGAAACCGGACTACCCGCTGAAATATTCATCGACGGTAGAGCCAGATGCTGATGCGAGGAGAGTAACGCTCCTGGGGACCGAATCGACTCAGAGGTTTTTTTGGGGAAACGACGAGGGCACAATTCTCTTCAGCTTGACGCGGAGAGTTGGTCGGTGCCAGAGGAAGGGCAACAGGGCTTTTGGCGTCGTGAATGGCGACTGAAGGGATCAGTTCGTGACTCGCAACACCAACTTCTTCAGATAAGTTGCTACCATCGATGGCTGTGTGATCCATTAAGCTTTCGATCCCGGGGGCATTGTATCGTGTACAATTGTCTTGAAATAATAGTGAAAGTACGGAGGGGGGAGGTTCGTCGAAGTCGACTAGGTCATTGACAAAATCTCCCACAGACCCCATGATCTTTGATGGGAAGTAGACGATGACTAAGGACAAAAATACCTGTGATTGAAAAGAAGATTTTGAGGGCCGTAATATTGAGGAAAACAGACGAGCAACGCGAGACGCACAAGAACTCAGACAGAAACGCTCAACCCATATATGCTGGCTCCTTCAAAAGAAGGCAACGGCGACGAGCCCAGCAATCTACACCGCATCTTCCGATCTTTACCCCAGCATCGCAGGGGACTTTTACCTGCAAGATTACGCAGCCGGCTGACAGTTATCCCCATTCCAATCCGACTGTGACCTTGCTTACGGATAAAAGGCCCATGTATGTTTTTCATGGGGTGCAGCTGAGTGAGGCTGTTGGCGGCATCTGTCTGTTTCTAGTCGCGCCAGCAGAAGTAGGCATTGGGCTGCAAATAAGGGACTTGAGGTGCTTAATGCGCAGCGCGGGCCCAAGCCGGAAATGCTTCGCCTTGAAATCCAGCAAGCCTGCCTAATATGTCAGCTGCAGGAAACGTGTTCCAGGTCCTTTTATCTGAATCGCTGAGCTCTGTCTTCCCTCTTGGCGTCGATTCGCACTTTTATTGGGAAATCCAGATTAAGGCATCTAGGCAGCAAGGACTAGGCGCTTCAAGTGAAGCCATCCAACGATGCAGACTGCACACACCACAACGCAGTTGCCTCCTAAGCACCCAGTTTCCCACAGACTCCTGGCTAACTATGCCACGTCATTCAAGAGGAAGTGCTGAAGTTTTCTTGGTTCAACATCAGACTTCGCAGAGCCATCATACGATTAAGACAGCCGGATCGCATACTGCGGTCGCCTTTGATAACAAGTGGTTACACCTGCGGGGCTCTGGATCCCAACATATGGTGTGTTAAGACATAATTGGTGGTGCCCCGTTCAGCCCATGAGAATGATCAGGCACCTAAGATACTCTGTGAAGACGATTAATCGGCTATACCATCTTCCCCTGAAAGTCTCCCGCACAAGCTTTAGTGCAGCAGTCCATCGCTGCCGGCCCTGCATTGTTTGTTGAGTGAGACTGCTTCGCTGTTTGCGTTTCCTTCACTATGCCTCTCGCTACTTGTGCTTCCTGACACAGATGCTAAGGGAGGTTTCACGTATTTAGTCAGGTAAAACATGAACCATGGATTCCTCAACGTATGGTTTGATTATCTTTGATTTCTTTTATACCTGTCCGTAGCATTACTTATCTTTGTTGCATCTACCAAACCTCAACATTTGCGCAACCACGTTGTTACCTCTGTTACCCGGCGTCTATGGGTACCACACAGCGCGCTGGAGTTGTTCTGGTTTTAATAAAGCAGACACACCTAAAATCGATATTTTCAAATGTTGATTCAATCTTCAGTCAATATAACTGTTCACAATTTATTGAAGTGACACGGGAATAGCCCTTGGTGCGCTGAGACATGAGCTGACCTGCAACCAGCCACAATAAAAGGTAAAAATAGAAAGATTTGAAAGCACATGTGGGCTGTATCTGTAGCAAGGTTGCAATTTCTGCAAGCAAGAGCCCATGGGTTCGTGGGCGTCGTTGGGGGCGAGGGGCCAACGCACTTACACCGGCCAACAGAGCCAATGGGGACGACAGAAAAAAATGGGATCTGTCAAGCACCAAATCGACCCCAACCCAATGAAACTTGGCGCCTGCCTTTTATTCGGATGAAGAAGTGGAATCGTCCCAAGGCACATGTACATCCATCAATAATTGTAAGATATCTCAGGCTCTGTCAGTTCAGCTGATGATGATGCATGTTGGGGTCTAGTGAATATCAGCTCTGCGCCAAGGTCGTGGAACAGGGTCTTGTCTATTTTGACGATCATTCAGGCACGCCTCCCGGAAAGTCACCACAATTATCAACAAACCCCTCAGAATGCCGCTCGGAAGGGCAAGAACAGCGCTGAAAAGACTTCTACACCTCAGGTTCAAGTTCACGAGTCAATTATCTTCCACCAGAAAGAAGCTTGCATCAGCCTGCAAGCACAACCTACAAACAGTGAGCCCCTGACAACCTCTCAGCGGAATCCCACCGCTATTGTGCTACTCGGCGAAGCAGAGACCACCAGTGTCTGTGGCGACGAGAGCCCACTTCCCGGGCTAAGTATAGCGTCCCAGTGGGGCCGGAAGACATCCTCGCCCTGCGGTGTCTCCAGCCAAAGCACGCTCTTGACGTGAAGGAACGCGTCATCCCAGCTGCTCAGCTCCAGAGAGGCGGCCACAACCCATGCCCTTTCCACGAACGAGTCATACAGGGGCGTGCCAGCCGCCGAGACCATTCCTATCGCTTGAAACCAGACGTCCAGAGAGTTATATACCCGCGGTAATGAGTCAAGCCGTGTGAGCTGCTCTATGAACCGCGTGACGATGGCGTTTAATATTACTGCGTGTGAGTAGTAGGTTGGTCCGTGGACATTAAACATGTAAAGTATTTTGGCGTAGCGTATGCATTCGGTGAGTGGCGATGATGCAGGGTCACTTGGATCTGGCGCCGAAAGTAGGAGGCGGTGTATTACGAAACATGTGAGATCGTGAAGTCGAGTGGTTGGGAATGGAACCCGCCTAGCCCGTTGGAAGACATTCCGTAGCCGGATGAAGACATTTAGTACTGTGCAGTCAACTTCCTGATCGGCAAAGTTGAAGAGGTCGTCGTCGTGAATAGTTGGTGCTTGTTGCCATTCGGGGATCGGTGGTATGCCATGCCCAACGCCGTCGTCATCCTGTGTTTCGAACTGGGGATGACCTTTTACAATCATCGATACCCTTTCACAGACATAAGCACCATGAAGCTGGAAGAGATTGAAGTTGACTTACCAGCTCACCATTCGTGCGGTAAGTGGGCTGGTCTGCCTCACGGAGTTGATACCGCCCCGCATGTTGACTAGTCGGGCTACACCGTCAACATGCATCTCGCTCACTTGAATATTTCCCTTGCCGAACTGCGTGACATCAGTAAATAGTGCGCCTTACGAATGAGATTTCGCGATGAGGACAAGCACGGGTAGAAGGAGCTCACTTCAATTGCTGCCAAAGTGATGACAGAGTTCATTGTCCCGTCTTGCACAGCTAACGACGTGTCCTCAACCTTGCGACGGAGCAGTGCGACCGAGTCAGCCATGAGAATCTCGGATGCTTGGAACCCTTTTTGAGCCAACATCTCTTCGTCGAGACATGCTGTTTGTAATGAGACGTGAAATAGTGCGGGATCGCCCAGTGCCAGCGGCCACCAAGACACGAGAAACGGATTTGAGGTTGCGTTCAGGTCGAGCGGGTAATACTGAAACGCGATCTTGTGGAGAACTGAATTGGTAAGCCGGCCATCCAGTCCCTGACCAACAACCACTTCCATGAGTTGAGCCCCTACGTACAGCTATGAATCAATCGTTGAACGTGTTCTCTAGGGAGTCGCGTCTGCGGATATGAGTCGAAGGGATCAAGCGACCCGATCCTGTAGCTGGTCAAAGCGCCGGATCCATGGTGATGTCTCGCGGCTCCGGTAGCATCCGGCCCCGGAGCAGCCGGAGGCGGCGGCGGTGCGGTCAGGGGTTCGTTGGCGTAGACGCACAGGATCTTGCGCTTGACGCAGCGCGAGCAGCGCGGTGTGCGGAGATCGCAGCTGTGTTTTGATTTGGCGCACGTATCACAGGATCGGCGGAGAGTTTGGCGCATCGTTGGGAGGGGGGAAAGGCACGAGAGATTGAACAGACGGATGTTAAGGCATTCTCGAATGTCAGAGTGAGCAAAGGAGGAAGAGTGCTGGTGGAGATGGGCTGAGGAGCGAGCCAGAATACGTACGGGTCCCCATCGAACCCTTTTCCGAATGGGGACTAGACTCCGCTGGGAGTGTCGGGTCTCTGGAACGTCTGCACGACTTTCGGAGACTAAGCCTGATGCGGTATTCTGGGCTGTTCAGGTACGATCTGGCGGGAATTGAAGGATTGAGAATCCGCAGATCCAAGCGTCATCAAGGGACCGCTAGATGATGATTGGAGAACGGGGATAAGACGGGGATAACTTTGCTGTCGACGCACTCCGATTGGCCGTCATAGAGTCTGCGGATATCGAATCGATAATGGTTTTGCAATGTCAAGACAGAAGTGATCGTATCATCAAGCCCAAAATGGCAAGGAACAGAAATGAAATTGAGCCGTGTGATGCGCCCAAGGCCTCTCAGTCTTTATCATTCCTGGCCAGGCAAGGACCACTGCTCAATGGCTTGATCGTACGGATTGGCGAACGCCAGCTTCCGCTACCCAGCTGGAGGGTCATCTGATGTTTGTATAAGATGGAAACGATTGCCGTAGTCTTTCTTGTCTTCAAAGACATAAGCTCTTCAACTCGAAAATTGCACACGCACTCGTTATGGCTGCTGAAGTTTTGAGAAGCTCGGCGTCTCAGCCAGAGCTGAATCAAACATGGCACTCGAGTACTTCGCAGTTCAAGACTTCCCTACCCGACTTTCTTGCTGGATGGCCAACCTGGCAATATGTCGTGACTATCCTTCTCTGTGCGGTAGTCTATGACCAAGGTACTTCTGTTCCCAACTCTGTGCTGCAAGGCATTGGTTTAACGTCTTGCAGTCATGTATCTCAAGCGGAAAGGCCCCATTGCCGGACCAGCTTTCAAGATCCCGATTATGGGCCCCTTCCTCCAGGCCATCCATCCCAAATTTGATGAGTATCTCGCCCAATGGGCCAGCGGACCCCTGAGCTGTGTCTCTGTTTTCCACAAGTATGATTTCAACTTCATCCTTCATCCACATGCTAAGACGTCTGCCTACAGATTCGTTGTTCTTGCATCCGATCGCGACATTGCCCACAAGGTCTTCAAGTCCCCCAAGTACGTCGAGCCATGCCTGGTGCCTGTTGCCAAAGATATCATCGGTCACAAAGCCTGGGTTTTCCTCCAAGGCAAGGACCACGCAGAGTATCGAAGAGGGCTGGCTCCGCTGTTCACCAACAAGGCCATGTCAACCTATCTCCCGATCCAAGAAAAGGTACTTGCCGACTACTTTGACAAGTTTGTTGCAGACAGCGCGGGAAACGGAGGTCGCCCGATGGAGTTCATGACTCTTTTCCGAGAGATCAACTGCGCGCTGTCGTGTCGCACCTTCTTCGGCGATTACATCTCCCAAGACGCTGTCAAGAAGATTGCCGACGACTTCTACCTCGCGACTGCCGCACTCGAACTGGTCAACATCCCTCTCTCGATGTATATCCCCTTCTCCAAGGTCTGGCGCGGTAAGCGCGTCGCTGATGCCGTTCACGTCGAATTCGCCAAATGCGCGGCCGCTTGCAAAGCCAGCATGGCGACGGGAGCAGAGCCCAAGTGCGTCGTCGACCATTGGGTGCTGCACATGATGGAGTCTGAGAGATACCGCGAGAGGCTTGCTGCTGGGGAAACCAATGTGGAGAAGCCTCCAAATGTCATCCGCGAGTTCACTAATGAGGAAATCGGCGAGACGCTCTTCACCTTCCTCTTTGCGTCCCAGGATGCATCGAGCAGTGCGACGACGTGGCTGTTCCAGATTCTCGCCCAACGTCCCGACGTACTCAATCGTCTGCGGGAGGAGAACCTGGCTGCACGGAATGGCGACAGGAACAAGCCTTTCGACCTTCCTATGTTGGAGTCGCTGACATATACCAATGCGGTCATTAAGGAACTTCTCCGTCACAGGCCACCAGTCATCTTCGTTCCTTACCTTGCGACCCAGGACTTTCCCGTCACGCCGAACTACACTGTCCCGAAAGGTGCCATGATCATTCCGTCATGCTACCCGGCGCTACATGATCCAGAAGTTTACCCCAGACCGGACCACTTTAACCCCGACCGATGGATCACTGGAGACGCAGAGTCAAAGACCAAGAACTGGCTTGTCTTTGGCTCCGGGGCTCATGACTGCCTTGCGCGGAGATATGTGCCGCTCTCCATGGCAGGCATGATTGGCAAGGCTGCACTGGAACTGGACTGGGAGCATCATGCCACAGAGAGGTCGGAGGAGATTAGGGTGTTCGCGACACTGTTCCCAATGGTAAGCATCAAGCAGAATGCATGATGATACTTGCCTGGCTATTCCACTTACTAACAAACGAGCAGGACGGGTGTCCGTTGGTCTTCCGAAGACGGTCATGAAAGAAGTGCCCGCGATGCTGGGCTTGCTATCAGATTCGATGCTCACAAGGCAGAGGTGCAAATGAAAAAGGTTGTATGACGCAGTCATTCTGGGATATATGGATAGATAAAGTTGTCAAGTCTCAAGTTTGGTTGGATCAACACGTTTCAAACTGAATCAATCTCGTCGTTCTCCACACCGCAGTTTGACACCCACAACCATCCATGACCCCCACAACCATAACCCACAATCTATAACGAGCCTGCAGACTGCTGGGACTGTACAAAATACCACAACAAACCCGAGCGCCTTTGGCACCATGCCAAAAGATACAACTGGCCCAGTCTCCTGCAAGTCGATCTTCTTCTACGCTTGGCAGTGGTGGCTCTTTCCAGTATCAAACTAAGGACTTCTTGTCAATCCTGTATGTGTAGGTGACGGTCCCAGCGGAGGCCCATCCCGCAACTACCATATTGTTGGACTGCCCCCCTGCGTGTCCGCCTGTTAGCCGCGGGCGTATTAGTCAAAGTTCCCACATAGATGCTCTGCGGTCACTCACATTCTGACGTTTGGAGGAGGTTATACGCCTGGGTACAGCCCTCGCTCTCTGCGTTTGATGATCCGTTCTTCCTCAGCGTGACCTGATAGTCAGAGTATGCACCCAGGTTTGGCGGCGGAGTCATCTTGTTCACGTCCCGCGTTCTATTGCCCTGACCATCTACAGTCAACTCAAATTGAGCAGGGCGTTTGTCGGCCTCCTCGCAGAAGTTCTGAGCGACGACTTGAAAGACATTCCAGGGCATGACAGAAACAGATGCCGCATTGCAGTCGTACTGCCAGACCCCTATCTTTTTGACTGGGGGGATGTCTACAGGGCTGGCACTTGCGACAAAGGCTAGATAAGAAGCGAAAGAGATGATAGAGGGTGACTTCATTGTAAGGACAGAGCCGTGGATTCAAGAAGATGCTATGATGCAGTGTCTCTGGATCAATTCTTACTTTTGAGGTGGCGACTATTTATGCTTTGGGAAATAGCTTATAGCTCCCAAGAAACCTCAAAGTGATTGACATGACCGTTGATGATAGCCACGATAACCCCGTTACTTCACCCGGCGACTGTGTATTTTTCTTTATCAATTAAACCGAGAAAGTCTGATGAGAGATCCCAACAGAATCATGCGTTACTTTGACGTTTAATCGAGCATCTCTCTTGGCCTTTTCACAAATGAAACTGAGGCATATTCTTCGTGGTGGTTCGGCGTCCTAGGCGCCAATCATTACCAGTCATTGCCGTGACAGGCTCATAAGTCGGCGAGATCATGCACATCAGCTCGCGTCCATCTCGGCACCTGCACCTGTATCCACGGACTCAATAAGGAAGACTGGGAGCCAGAGACCGTAAAGTTGTGATTGTAACCAAACGCAAGAGAAAGATAAAGCAGATAGCGTTTGTTGATGCGCCTTGCGTGCTCACAACTGTTTCTAGTTCAGGAAGAAACGCCCTGAGATTTTCGGCTTTTTGATATTCCCCGTGCCACAACAGAATTGTAGCCGAAATGGGTCGGGTTGCTAGCCCAGTCCGAAGGCTTGTAAGAGCCCACAACAATGTGTACATCTTGAGGCTGTCTTGCGCCAAGGCTCCACATGATAGCACGCGCCTGGCAGGTCACGGCAATGCAACTAAGAACAGAGGACCCCGTTGATACTTATTCACTTCTCAGATTCTTGGCTCCTCTAAAGCCAAACAGCATTTATTTCCCTGCATCCGGCAGGTGACATCGTCACCATGTCTTCGGCAGTTCTAATCCGACGGCCCGCCCCTGTCATATGTAGGGATATCTACTCCCCCGGCCCCGCCACTTCTTCGAATAGAAGGTGGCCAAGTCTCCGTGGGGCCGCCGCCTAGCTCATTCGTACCAGCAAAATAGGCCCTCAGACGTCAATCCTCCTGGATGCCCGAGTGCCTAAACAGGCCCGCACAGTCGAGCCCCAGCCCCTTTACGGACAGTTGTCGGAACGGTGGGGGATGGCGTGATGGTCTCTGCCATGGCAAGATCTTTGACGGGAGATTGGCGACGAATCTAAGATTCAACTTGCAGGCTTGGGGAGCAGTGATACTGGAACGTTGAGGCTGTGATGTGTAGCGCGATGGGACCAAGATGCGTGATAACGCACAGCTGCGGTCGGCGTTGACGTGTCGTGATTCGTGACCTTGGCATGCTGTTGAGTTTTTCGTGATCTTGCTTATCAGCTGCGCTGGCGGGTGCTCCGAGTCTGCTTGAAGCGTTAGCCTCCCTCCCAGCCGCAAACTCTCCCCGCATCTTTCATTTCATCCCGTCGGTCCGGCAAATCCGGGGTAGCTCAGTAATCTTGAACTCTGATGCCGAGCTGAATCCCCGCGTGATGATGCTTTGATGTCTGCATTTTGATCACTGATCACAGCATACATTCCACATGCGCATATTCACGATTCTGAGATGCGACTCCAATCACTGATAGCGATCGTCCACTGAACCATGAACGCTGCGGGCGAATGACTTGGACATCCCGCGCGGCA